GGGAAAATTTGATTCGGGTCGCGGAACGAATTAAGTTCGTGAACCGAGGTACCACTGTATAGCCTGGGGATCCCCTGGTAATAGGGGGCCTGTACACTGGTTATGCTATATGTAAACATCTTCCCTCTCCTGGTCTTGTTTTATCCATGCTTATTGTTTTAATGGGTTTGCAAAATGTTTTAATTTTTGGTTTTATTGTAGACTGCCCTCAGTCACTTTGGGTGAGATGGGCGGCCATATAAATGTGACAAATAAATATAAATTTGACAAATAAATCAATAAATAAAATTAGTATCGCTGGAAATGGTGACCAGATTTAAATAAGTTTATCCTCGGCAGTACACTTCTTCAAAGATCCTTGTTATATTAATGTTTTGGCCAAAGCAATTGCCCATGCTTTTAAATACCCTGATCCAACACAAAATGGACTTCAGCTGTTTAGCGTGACAAACCTAGCAGCTGATAATAGCAAATGAATCAATTTCTTATGTGGCATCAATGTGTTTGGATTGATTATACCAAGAGACTGCCAACCAAGATGGAATCAAATCCCAAAGACCCTCCAGAATTTCAAATTTCTGCTTTGATCTATTTCTGAAATTCAGCCAGGGTGGGAGCCAAATGGATATTGACCAGGAGGCTCTTTCAAAGGACTGGTGCAACCACCAAAATGCAGGGCAGCTGAGCGTCACCCCCACCCTCACCTCCCTGAAGAGGGGCAGTTCTCTTGGGTAGATGGTCAGGCCAATTCCAAAGAGAGAATATGACCCTATAAATAACCAGGTGCCGAGCCATGTAGGGCTTTATAGGTCAACACTGGCATTTTAAATTCCACCCAGAAGCTTATTGGTAACCAGTGTAGGTCATGCAGAACTGGTGTGATGTGCTTCTATCAGCAAATGCTGGTCAGCATATGGCCTACTGCACTCTGAGCCAGCTACAGCCTTTGAGTGGTCTTAAAAGGCAGTCCCACACACAACATGTTGCAGTAGTCTAAGCAGGTGATGGCAAGGGCACGAGTCACTGTAGCACGATCCTCCCACCCCAGGTAAGACTACAAAATATGGGCACAAAACATTCACTTTCAAGAAGACAACTTTGTTTCAGAATGTCCTCTACTATTCTAGTGGGACCTCTGTGGGATCCATTTATCACTTCTGCTGATAATAGAATGTGAGAAATGGATGCTCCGTTTTGCAGCATGTTAACTCTTAGTTTAGTTTTTTTTTTTTACTTTTTCAAAAGCCAGGTGGAACAAAAGCAAGTGTCTTGGGCAGACATAGGCTGGCTATTCTCGCTTTAGTTAAGCTGGTAGACTCAAGTAATTTTTCTTGCTATCTTCCAAGTTATGAGATGGGTATAATTTAGTAGCTTTGCAGTTGAAACATCTGTTGACAGAGAGACTTTTGACTCTTTGGGCCTTGTCTCCTCCCTCTTTGACAGCTTTCATTGTCCCATGTCTTTAGGTATGATTAAATTTGCCATGCAACCTATCACAGCAGGAGCAGAAAAGGGAATATTAATGTCCCGTATGAAAACAGCAAGAGCAGATTTTTTCTACCTGGTTGTTCTGTCTCCCATGGAAAGTGGAGTCAGTGTTACAAAAATGGGAAGCATTACCTCATCATCTGTTGGCTTGGGTGGGAGTTTGGGCTTCTGCACAGCAGATGGCGGTAGTGGTAAACTGGCTGGTTTCTTTGACAGAGATGAAGATTGGTTTGGCAGAATAGGTGGCAGCCAGGTCTTCTGTTGGCTAGACCGTTTGTCGTCTGTGAGGGGTGGGAAAAAAATATCCATAATTAAAAAAAATTAAGTGCATCCCCTTCCCTTTTCATGGAGCTGTATTTCCTTGAAATGTAATGCTACTAAACTGTCACATGCTCCATGGCACTAACTCCCACGTAAATTTGTTTTGGACTGCAACATCATGATTTTTCTAGAGGAAGTCTCTACATCAAATTGAATGATGGTTATATGCAACAGCAGAGTGAATTTTTTTCTGCAAAGTCCTTGAAACTGCACTAAGATGGCTCATTTTCAATTGTGAAACTCAGTGGAGCTTGTGGGTGGGTTATTCAGTTGACAGAATACCTATCTTATAATGCCTGAGCCTTCTGGCTCCCGGACTTCAGCTCTGCCAAGAGGAATGGGACTTTCGTTTGTTTTTTGCAAGATGAAGTAAGGACACAGATTGGGGTTGGGCAAATTGAAAGCAAATGTTTTTACTTCTCTTTTCTATGGAATAGCGATGATGGGATTTTTCCTATTGTATGATCTATGGGGGTTTGGAGGAAGTAATTAGGCTCCTTGTTTTTCGCATGTTGATGCTGGTGGCTTTGAAGATGATCAAGCTGTTTCTTTCAGGGTCTGGGGAGTGGAAACTGTGGTCTCTGTCTCCATACTGAATGAGATTAGTTTCATTAGAGATGTTAAGTATCTTGAGTTTCCTATTCTTTTGCACCTGCAATTTGACTTAAGAACATCAGATTATTCAAGGCTATATCTAATTATCACAGTAAAGCTCCTTCAAACACCACTTATGTTGCTTGATTTAGACAATGGGTAACACGCTTTATCAAAGCCCCCCAGAAAGTTTTGCAGGGATATCTTAAACTATCCTTATGATGCTATTGTACAACAAAAACACAAGTTACTTTGCTGGAATTATATATAATATACTATCAGCTACATACATTGTTTGACAAGTTGATATTGTAATGATTCTTCCAAGTAATGAAATGTGATTCATAAATATCTGACTCAGGCCAGTCAGTTTTAATTAAGCCACACCACTGAAAGAATCAATTGCTTAAAATATATTCCATTAAATAAGTGGAATATATTACATAATATCAAAATATACCTGAGTTTTTAATTATGGTTTAATTCAAGTTTCATCTCTTAACAGTAAGTACCAAAAATCCAATACATAATGACCACCTTAAATCTATTTGTGTCATTGAGAAAGTAGTCATATCATCAGCCTATATTGAATCATTGATAATTTGGAATTAGAAAAAAGCTGGAAAATATTGTTCCTATTATGTTGTTTAAAGACAAGGTGAACAGAAAGGGACCAATTATTTTTTGCTCTAGGTATATTTTGCTTTAGGTATTTTCCCAACCACCCAATCACTGAAGCCCGCCTGAACCCATAATTCAGAATTTTATACTAAATGAAATTCAGTATAATACTAAATAATATGAATTCAGTCATTTAGATAAAAGCAATTTCATTAACAATATTGGAGGCTCATCATTGCTCCATCCAAAGCTATCTTAAGCATTTCAGGAAAAAAAGAGAGCATAAATCATGGTTATTTTTTTTTAAAGAAACAGTCCTCAAGGACAATTGTATCTTTGGGAACACTGTATTTGGTTTGAGACTATACCTATTTGGCTGGGGCAAAACTAAAACTTAGCATAGAAGTGGTCAATTTTTTCCAGGGTCAGGGGCCTTAACTTGTCCCCCTCCCCCAACCAGCTGGAAGGCCAGAAGTGTTATCTCCAGAATGGTGGTGACACCACATGAATGGTGAGTTGTAACTTTTGGAATGCTTTTAAGTGTACCAATAGAAGAGAATACATGTCACACCACATGGACAGACTTAACCATAGTTTCAACTGGGAAACTGTCAGCATCTTAGACCAAGCTAAATCTAAAAATGTGAGGAAATTC